AGAAGAAACCAGCCAAGTAATGGTTGCTGAGAGGGCTGACTGAAGGAACAAGTACCAAAGGCATCCCGAAACACTGGCAGGTCAAATAAGACAGAAACTGACTTAGACCATCTGTGGCTGCAACAGCAGTGTGACTGAGGAGGGGATTCCAGAAACTTCCAAAGTGGAAGACATGACTTTGAAGATTAAAAAGGCCCGCTGAGTGCCACACAACGTGAGAAATCAGGCCAAAACACAATAATTATCCAATTTCAAAATATAGAGAAGAATGGTTGGGCGTGGTGGCTCATTCTTTATAATCCTACCAGGAGGCTGAGCCAGGAGGATTGCCATGAGTTTGAGGCCAGCCTGAGCAAGAGTGAGACTGTCTCGAAAACCAAAGCCCCAAACGCCCAATACAGAGCAGAAGGGAACCAGACTGGAATGCAGGGGGCAGTAAAAGATGGGTTTGCATATAAAGAGATCACAGAACGTCACAATTCCCCCCATCCTCCCCAAACACTGAAGCTAGAAAACACCGGGTGAACTTCTTCAGAAGGCTGAGAGGATTCACAAATTAGAATGGAAAGATGGCCTGAGGGTTAAGAGCACTTACTGACCTTGCAGAGGGCCAGAGTTCAGTTCCCAGTACCCATGATGGGGATCTCACACATTTCAGCTCCAGGGGGATCTTGTGCCCTCTTCTGGCCATCAAGGGCATTGCACTTAGGTGCACATCCTCACACAAAGAGAGACGCACAAACACACTATTAAAAATAAAATGTTTAAAAGCATGTTTAGAGATAAAATCCTAACAAAAATATCCCATAGTGTATAAAAGCATACTACTGACAATGTCAGATGCAGAGGGTCTCAGAGCTTTTGCTTTCTTTTATTTTTCCTGAGGGAACTCTTGGAGAATAAGCACTTGAAAAATACAAAACGATATTTAAAAAAACAAAACAAAAAACAAAAACCTTTCCCAAGAAAAACATGGTTCAAGTTATAGGAATTCAGAGGCCCCACTCAGGTAAAGAGCAACATTAATCTGTGGGACAGCGGTGAAGGAAGGTTCCAGAATGCACTAGAGGATACAGTGTATATGTTTCTGTGCCTCTTCCCTCAAAAGGATGCTTTCTTAGTACCCTTGGACATCAGTGACGCTATCTGAGCACCTGGAGAAGGTCTGAGAAGCTGTGTGAGAGACAAGGGCATTCAAAAGAAAAAAAAAAAAAAAGACCAGAGAGCAGAGGGGGGACGAATATTCACCCTAGGTGGAAGGGACAAGAACATCAGGCTCATGGAGACTCTGAGAACCTGGTGACTGACGCAGGTGACGCGTCTGATGAAGGCAGTCGATACCAATGGTTCCTTCTCATTTCTGTCTTCTCAACGAGAGGGATAGATGTTATCATCCGGGAGGAGGTGAATGAGAAGGACGCATTATTGTAAAAGATAGGGTGCGGCCCTTTTAAAACGGGGTGTGAGCCAAGGCGAGAAGTGCTGTACGACTACCATCATTTCCTGGAGGCGCAGGGAAGGGCTCTCCAGCCGCTCTCTCTTCAGATTGTTAGGCCCAGCCATGGGAAGGTGACTGAGGAGCAGACGTTATCCCTGAATAGGAGCATGGCTCGCAAGCTCCGCGTGGTCCCCTTTAGGGAAAGGTGGAGGCCACCTGCAGCGGGGTGGGTAGACGTGGGATTGACGTAGACGGCGACGGAGCCTCCTGTGAAGAAATGTCATCTCCAGACTTCAAAGAGCGCTTTGCCGTCAAAACATCAGAACGCACTGGTGTAGCAGAGACGAGCAGAGATGCCGACAGAGAGCCACCCCAGTTCATCTTAGACGGGCGGACGTGATCAGTGCTCATCCGGGTGGGGACTTGGAGGGGGTTTAGCTGGAAGCTACCTCTGTAAGCAATTATCTGGCAGTGGAACGCGTCTGTAATAAACAGCTCCGAGCCCTCTGGAAATAGGAGGTCTCGTCAATTATACTCTAACAAAAAGCTTCCCTGCAGTAACCCGTGGGGGCCTGCGGTTTCTTTCCGCCGGCTCGAGTCATGCTAAGGTAGTCATTCTGGGGCTCGCACCCTTGCTTTTGAGTTGTTAGCGTTTATTCAGCGTGGGGTCTTCGTCTTTCCCTGTGTTCTGTTACCGTTTGTATCAGTCACTTGCCTGTTGCTGGGACAAATTGTGACCACAGGACTTACAGAAGAAAACTTATGTGGAGTTCCAGAGGGGACTCCAGAGGGGCTACAGCTGGAGGCTGAGAGATCACATCTTGGACCACAAGAAGGCAGCAGAAAGATAGTCTGAAACTAGATTAGTTTTCAAACTCTCAAAGCCCTTTTCCAGGGGCATACCTCCTCCAACACGGTGACAACCAAGCTTTCCCAAACAGTGCTACCAATTCTGAACCAAATATGTAAGTTCCTGAGACTATGGGGGTGTTTTGTTCAAAGCTACCATACCACACTGTCAGTCACTAAAACATGGGGCAAACAGTCCTAAGTAAATCTTTCCTTTTAAAGAGTGTTACGGCTTGAATGTGAAATGTCTCTCCTAAGGCTTGTGTGTTTTAACACTCGGTCCTCAGCCCAGTGATAGTGTCTGAGGTAGTTTAAATGTAATGGTCCCCCATAAACTCCTCAGAGGGAGTGGCACTATTGGGAGGCGTGGCCTTGTTGGAGTATGTGTGGCCTTGTTGGAAGAAGTGTATCACTGTGGGGGTGGCTTTGAGGTTTCATATGCTCAAGTCACGTTCAGTGTCTCAGTTCACTTCCTGTTGGCTGCACAAGCTGCAGAACTCTCAGCTACCTGAGATGATTAACTTTGTTACCAATTAACAGAAAGGGGTTAAATAACTCTGGTTACAGAGCCAGCAGATGCAGAAGTATTAAACTCAGAAACAGACTCTATTGGTGGTGCGGGGGATTGAACCCAGGGCATTGTATGCTGCAGGCAGGCACTCTACCACTGAGCTATATGCCCAACTCCTTATACCCCATGCTATTTGCCACTATGTAGCATTGCCTCTCACATAAGTACTGTGCAAATAGCCTCCCAGGGACATTTCTTTCTCATCTCTAGTATGCTCAATTCTGGTTTTAGATCTTGCTTTCTAATATTTTGCTACACTGCAGATACCAATATGAATGGATGGCTAACTTGGTGTCAACAGGGAAGCGCTGCTCTGAGTTTGAAGAGAAGAGGAAATGAAGTCTGCAGAAGGGACAGAAGTTTCCAGAACACCATCTAAGGCACAAGTCATAAGCTTTAGAGAGACACTGCTTTGATCTTTTTAAGCCCAAGTTACTTTCCTTAAAAGTCATAGCATAGTTTTGAAAAGTAAATATATCAAACGTTTGCTAGGAAGCTGGGGGAATGGCTCGCTCGTAAAGTGCTCGCTCCCAAGCGTAAGGACCTGAGTTCAGATCCACAGCATCACATAAAAGTAGGGACCCTGTAACCACAGCACTTGGTAGAGACAGAGGTGTGAGGATCCTGTGGCTTTGCAGGTCGGCCAGCCAACACAGCTAATCAGTGACCTCTAAATTTAATTATAAGAAAATATGTGTTTCGGAAAATATTGTTTCAGAAAATTAGATGGAAAATTACTTGTGAAATACATACAGTGTTGACCTCTGGCCTCTACATGTGTGTGGAGACATACTCTCACATACACATGAGAGGGGATAGAGAAGGAACAGAAAGAAAACATTTGTTGATGAATAAAATCCGGTGTTGCAAAAACTTCCAGGTCACAGAAGGACACATTCATAACAGAGGAATCATCTCCCGGGTTAAGGACGATATCTCTAGAAGAAGCCAAAATGTGTTGTGCTTTATCTTATTCAGGGACAGACTCCTGGCAGGTCCCCATATCGTATTTTCTGTTGAATAATTAGCTGTCAGGGAGAGGATGTATCCAGTGATACACTAACACTTGCCTGAATATAAAAAGAGGTCTTTGTGACAGAAGTAATCTGGCCAAGAACCCAGGCTTCCATATCAGGACAGGGCACACCAAAAAACACTCTGAGATTTGACAGTGACAACACACACATAAATCATACAAGTAACACATAAGGAACCAAAAATCTACAATTTAATTCCTGCCAAAAAATACTAGTTAACCTGATGACAATGAAGAAAATGATAGTATTTTAAAAATTATTTTGAAGGATACTTGAACAAACGAGTTTGAAATCCAGTGGGACAGACTCGTGTGTCTCATACTCTGTCTTTCCAAACAGACTTAGCTCACTAGTGGGCTTCGTCAACTGGAGACTGACCCCCCAAATGCTCCCATAGTGGCTGCCAAGTGTTCTGGAATTGATACTACTGAGAATTTTCCATCTGACCCCCAAGGTCTAATACGGGGTACTCAATCTCATATAAGCGCACACTCTTGTTGCACCCCGAAAACATTGCTGCCTCGATGTGTGCATGTGGCGAATTGGTCATTTCTTTGTTTTTGGTTTAATAAGTCAGTTCACAGTGGCTGATTGGAAAGTTGGACCGGAGCCAGCACGCTGGATATGAGTAGTAATGAGTGGGCAGGATGCTGTGCTGTGCTCGGAGCAGAACAATCGATCCCCCTGTCATTTACACCGTCTCTAACAGAGAGGAGCCAAAGCCCAGAGGAAGCATGAAATACCGAGGACTCCCATAATACCGCCTAGCTTATTTACGATTCCCTCCTCCATCCTTCCTGCTGGTCCAGATGGCTTCCCTCTTTGTTTTCCAGGATGAATTATGCTCACACCCTGCAAGATGCTGATGACTTCACAAACCTTCCTCTTCAGCCCTCACAAAGGGAAACCATGAAGTCTTACCTCTGCCGAATTATGCTCACACCCTGCAAGATGCTGGTGACTTCACAAACCTTCCTCTTCAGCCCCCACAAAGGGAAACCATGAAGTCTTACCTCTGCCGAATTATGCTCACACCCTGCAAGATGCTGGTGACTTCACAAACCTTCCTCTTCAGCCCCCACAAAGGGAAACCATGAAGTCTTACCTCTGCCGAATTATGCTGGGATTAGCTGTCACCAACTGAGTTTTGGAGCCGACATCCCTGGTGTACTCACTTGACAAAGGAGGGAGATTGCATCTAGAAATGCAAGAAGGAACGTTTCAGAATGACTCACGTACTTTTACACCAAGTCGGTGATAGGCGCACACAAATAGGAATGTTAATTCTGTCTCAATTCATCTTCCCATTTCCATGGGCATTAGATGACTAACTAACGGTTATCATCGCCAAAGTCCTAGGGGGCCTGCTTTATTCTCCTTCTTCCTTTGTTTTCTTTTTCTTTTTCTTGTGTGTTGTTGTTGTTGTTGCTGTTGTTTTAGAAGAAAATGTCAGTGGCAGACGTAGATGTTCTACCAGAGGAAAGAGATGGTAACCGAGGTGTATCTGCTTTGCTGAAAATGTATTAGAAGTATGCTGCCATCCACCTGTAATCCCATACTTGGGAGGTAGAGGGTACAGAGACTGAAGCAGCCTTGCTTATATAGTGAGCTGGAGGTCAGCCTGGGCTACATGAAACCTTGCCTCAAAAATAAAAATACAAGCAAATAAATAAATGAGCAAATAAGTGAGTGGATACACAGACAGATGGATGGATGGATGGATGGATGGACAGACGGACAGACAGGCAGAGGCTTGAGAGACAGCTCAGCCATTAGGACTATTTAGTAGTCTTGCAGAGGACCCAGGACTCGGCACCCATAGGGCAGCTCACAGCTGTCTGTAAAACCAATTCCGGGAGATCGGGTACCCTCTTCTGGGCTTTGCTGGCACCTGTGCATGTGTGATGCATATAAACTCGCACAAGCATCCGCATTCACATAAAACAGAATAAAACCTTTTATTCTAATGGGTAATGAAATAATGATAATGAAACAATGATAATGAAAAAAGGAAGCAGCATCTGAAGAGGAGGGACACAGCACTTTGAGCTTGAAATGAGGGTTCAGAAGGCAGAGGGCAGATGCCCCGCCCTACACCCTCTACCTACATATAAACACCGATGAATTACTCTCTTTTCCCAGGGTTTTCTTTATTTCCCAGAGATTTACATTATGGCGGCACTTTCCGGGTCACATACTATTCAGCTAACCTAATGCATGAATGATTTTTACATATTCGGTGTAGGCGGTTTAAGGTGATGAAAGGAGGTGTCACCCAAAGAACGGCAGTGTGTTCTTGTACCACTCCTGCTCTGTGTGGGGTCTGCGTGAGTGTGTGTGTGTGTGTTACGCTTTCACCTGTGCATACACATGCACGTGCCACATAAGTGTGTATGTGGGGACCAGACATCAACATTAAGTGCCCCCCAATCACTGTCCACCTTATTTTTTGACACAACATCTCTCACTGAACCTGGAGCTACTGACTTGGCTGCACCAGCTGGCCAATGAGCTCCAGGATCCTTCTGTCTCCACTTCCACAACACTGGGATTATAGGACATGCCACCACCACGCCTACCTTTTGCTTTTTCCGAGGGGGGTGGAGCACATAGCCTCAAGTGTGTGTGCCTATTACTTTTCCAACTGAGCCATCTTCCCAGCCTAAGAAGTGATGGGTTCTCCATGAGAGAAAACAATCAGCCCACTCGTACCCTCAAAGTCTGCACCTGCCCTAACTGCTTCCTTTGGTCACGATGCCTTACGGATACACAGTGGGAAACACAGCCGTCTCACGCCCAGACCTGTGGCTTTCTGCCTGTGTGCATCAGGTTCAAGCGTTTCCTCCATGACCAGACACCAGGTAACAGCTTTACAGCCTTCCTGGGCCATAGTAAGGACTAAGGGAACTCTGCTAAAAAGTCTCTATGTTGATGTTCTACAAACCAGTGTTCAAAACTATCCTGTCAGAAAGACCACAGACATCTCATTATGCATTATTAGGTTTAATTTCTCCTCTCTAAACACATGTCGGACTTGACTCCTGCCACATTAGGGCATGTCTAACTTGCAGAATTTATTTATAGATAAAAATGTTTTTACGAACATTGCGGTCTCTGTGATCTGCTGGATTTCCCCTACCAGTGTGCCCTGGGAGACGAAATTGCCCACGCACCTATCAGCTGACCCGACCCCCTCACCAGCCTCTCTTTCTTCTGGGCCCCATGACTCCGGCCACACCAGGCAGTGCAGGCGGAAACATCTCCATGTTGATTTAAAAAAATCTCCCTTTCATCTGCTTGTGGGTAATAAAAATAACTGGATTTTCTGGTAACCACACACAGGTCAGTCAGTCAGCTGGTGACTTCTGTTCACTGAAAGCAGACAGTGTGCAGTGTGGAAGGCTGGGAGGAGATGGCCACTCTTGAGGCATCTATAAGCCCTTGACAACACCACAGCCCATGTGGCTTCCTGAGGAGCCTTGCAGAAGAGTGGACTCAGGTCATCATTAACCAGACCCCATCAAGCGGTACTATGGGTCAGATTGTGGTTGCACTATTTAACTGATCTTTGCAAAGACAAGATGGCTTCCCAACTAACACACAGGCTAAAATTTGGATGTCCTCCTTAAGGATGCTTTGATCTGGACTGCCCTTGCTAACATTTGAGAATCAGCTATAGATTCTAAACTTTGCTTGGGAGTCAATAACAAATTCATTTTCATGTACAACTATTTTGTTTTCTTCTGTGTTCATGATTCATATGCCTGGATCCATTTATATCTTCTAGCACAGAATAAAACCACGAGAAAAGTTTTGTCAATAAATAATCAAACAAAAAAATCCCAAAACCAAAACAATAAAATTCACAAGCTGGTTTTTTTTCCCCCTGTAACAGAGGGGTGCTGATAGCAAGACAGATTTTACATGTGACTTTCTGAAACCGATGACAATGTGTATTGATGAAGTGTCTGCCTTCTGCCCTGTAAACATTCTCTTCCAGCACAAACAACAGGGCTGTTTCCCTGAATCTCTTTTCTTAGGAAAAGTGCACTATGCGTTTAGCTCCTCAGTTCCTAAATTGATAATTACATAGATTTGCATAAAAGGCCCATTTAATATAGTCAAATTGTTTCTAATAAGGCATAATTGTATAAAGTGTCCCAAATTTCACATTATTGCTTGTTGGCACAATTGAGAGAGATATTAGTTGTTTAAATTGTTTCCATAATGGTGATGCTTGTGACCCTGAAAGATATCCAAGAACGGAAGAGGAGAGGGGTGAGGAATTGGCATGCTGGATAGAAGACTCAACAATGGAAAAACATAGTTATGTGTGTGTGTGTGTGTGCGCGTGCGTGTGTGCGTGTGCGTGTATTTGTGTGTGTGTTTGTGCGTGCATGTGTGTATTTGTGTGTGTGTGTATTTGTGTGTGTGCATGTGTGTGTGTGTGCGCGCGCGCGCATGTGTGTGCACGTGCGTGTAAGCATGCAGGACATTCCACTTCACACAATCCAAAAGGCTCCACAACTGTTGCCATGCAGTGACTGTGAGCCACACAGTCTGTCTTCAATGTGGAATCATTATTACTTCTGCCTTGTCCATGTTCCTTGAGAGACTAAATTCAAGAATTTATTGCTGTTGTTTTGAGACAGGGTCTCCTGTAGCCCAGGAATGCCTGAAATTTCCTGTGTAGCCAAGGATGACCCTAAACTTCCGATCCACCTTCCGAGTGCTGGGACTAGAGGTACGCCCTATCACGGCCAGCTTTATGCAAGGACTCTCACTGAGCCAGCCCCACAGATTATTTTAAAGTGCTACTTTTGGTTAAAGAATAAATGTGCACTTTGAAAAAATGGGAAATTGGGTTGGTTGGTGTTTTTTTTTTCCAACATTTTGAAGGGTATGTTTTAAACCTGTCTGTGCACAGAACATTATGGGATGGCTGGAGGACAGGTCTGGAAGTCTCCACTGTAATCTGGGTCTACCGTACAAGGAAGGCTATGTGGAGATACCCCCCCCCCCGTCTTTGCTTACCCACACCACGTGCTTCCCAATCCCCCAGGCACTCAATAGTTCTGAACTTGTGTGGTATCAACAGCAGATTGTGTAAAAGGCTAACCTAGTCCTGTCTGTTTGGGATAAAAGGGACACCACGAGATAATCCCCTATGGTGCTTAGGACGGCTCTTTTACATGTCAGGCTGATTCATCTTCCTGATGGTGGCTGAGTACGCGGGCAAACACACACACACACACACACACACACACACACACACACACACAGCAGGAGCGATAGAATCTGCTGCTTTTGGTAAAAAGCTGGACTCCCCCCCCTTGGGCTACAAGAAGAGAGACTGGCATCCCTGCCCTCACTCTGCGCCTGCCCTTTGGACGCTGAGGCAGAAGAGTTACTGTTCTCAGGCCTTCTGTCTCTTCAGTCATCTTAAATTCCAGGCAAATAAGACCTCAGAGGACGGGACTCCCACCCCAGATGAGGGCGGTTATCCACGAGGGCAAGCATGCACCCTTCAGGACGAACACACAGGTTAACCATTTAAGGGAAGACTCGGCAGGGTGGACCAGCTTGTAGGACAGGATGAGAGCTGAGCCGGTGGTGGGTCAGGGATGGATAGAACCATGGCATCCCTAATTGCATATGGCCGGGGGGAGCTGCTGCACCAGGCTCTGGCTGTAGCACTTCCTCTAATGTCTCTTCACTCCATGTTGAGAGAAAGCACCCCGGCTATGCCTCAGAGAGCCTGAAGGTTTGAAAAGGTTGTGAACGCCACAGTGACACAGTATTTGCAGACGTGTGGACTGCGGGATGTCTTCCTTTCCTTCCTCCAACAGCCTCGGCAGAGGGGAAATAATACAATGTTGGGCACCTACACGGTTAACCGTGCAGTTGGTGTGTCCCCCCAACCCTGCGTTCTTCATTAACTTCTCAGCCCCACGTAATAACCCAGGGATTGGAGCAGGTGCCGGCCAGCACTGGGGCTCCCTGGCACCCTCACATGCCTCTGATTTCTGTGAGATGTTATCCTCTCCCGTGACACACACGTTTCTCCCACGCCTTCTCCCGTGTCTCGTGGCACCCAAGCGGCCCCCGTTGGAGCTGTACAGCTGAGGATTGTGCCAGGAGACCGTCTCCGCCTTAGTTTATTGAACCTTGTTCCTCAGACCGTGGTGGAATGAGCAAAGGGTTCGGCACCAGTGCCTCTGCTGCATCAAGAGCTGCTCTCGCTGTCTTGAATTAAGGCTCTCACTCCTTCTCCCTGCTATCTGTATACGTTACAAAAATGGTAAAATAAAGCAAACAGCAGTGGAGAAGAAAGCACAACCCTACAGTGCTAGCCTACCCTTGAAGGAAAGGTGTGTGTGTGCGCGTGTGTGCGCATGTGTGCGTGCGTGTGTGCGTGTGTGTGCATGTGTGCGTGTGTGTGCGTGTGTGTGTGTGCGTGTGTGTGTATGTGTGTATGTGTGCATGTGTGTGTGTGTGCGTGTGTGTGTGTGTGCGTGTGTGTGTATGTGTGTATGTGTGCGTGTGTGTGTGCGTGTGTGCGTGTGCGTGCGTGCGTGCGTATGTGTGCGTGCGTGTGCGTGCGTGCGTGCGTGTGTGTGTGTGTGTGTGTGTGTGTGTGTGTGTATGTAGAGGCTAGCAGTCTGCAATCACGTCTTCCTCAGCCATTCTCCTGCTTGTATTTTGAACCAGGGGCTCTCACCTGACTGGCTGCTCTATGAGCCCAAGGCATCCTCCAGTCTCCCCCGCCTCCCTACCTCTGGAATTATGAATACACCTGGCTTTTTAGGTAGATGCCTGGAATCAAACTTAAGTCCTTTCTTGTAGCATGAACAATAAAAACCCAGACACAGATACTGGGGTTCAAGCTTTAAGATGCAGATCAGAAAAGAAAGGCAGCTCTTACCTCTGAAAGGGCTGATCCTGTCCTCAGCGTGGATGGAAAATAAATCTCAGACTGAATACTTAATGCCCTGCTCCTATCTTATAAACCTCTCTAGAGCTGGGATTAAAGCCACGGGATCCAGAGTGCTGAGATCTCCTCTGTGTGAGCTCTGTTTCTCTTTTAGAATCATTCAATCTAATGTAACCCTGGGTGGCCTCAAATTCACAGAGATCCATCAGCTTTTGTCTCCTGAGCGCTGGAACTAAAGGTGTGTGCCACCGCTGCCCAGCGTCTATAGCTAACTGGTGCGACTGTGGGATTAAAGGTGTGTATCACCAGTGCCTGGCTCTATGGCTGTGGCTAGCTTAGCATTTTGATCTCCGGTGGCTTTATTAAATCATAGAACAATATACCACCACACTTCTGGCTGCAGAATCCTTGGGTTCCCGGTTCACAGTCATTCCTATGTCCTTGAAATTTTGGGGTTCACGTGAAAGAGTCTCCCAGACTCTCAAAGCTCTCTTGTTTCCCCAGCGAGGCGCGCTTTCCTTTTTCCAGTGTGTTGCAGACAGGCTGAGTTCATACGCGGGGGGCCATGCTTAGCCCTGAGCTCACCATGCCCCCACTCCCCAACCCCACCCTGAATGGCCCTGTCACTTGGTCCTGTTCGTCACTCCTCGTACCTCTTACTGCAGAGCCCACCCCTCACCCTGTCCTGGTTTTGGCGTACGTCGCCTCACGTGACTTCTGTCTAGAGCCCTCCCGCTTTGTTTTTGTTTTTGTTTTGTTTTGTTTTGGTTTTCCGAGACAGGGTTTCTCTGTATTGTTTTGGAGCCTGTCCTGGAACTCACTCTGTAGACCAGGCTGGCCTCAAACTCACAGAGATCCGCCTGCCCCTGCCTCCGGAGTGCTGGGATTAAAGGCGTGTGCCACCAACGCCCGGCTAGCGCCCTCCCTCTTTACACCCCGCCTTTCTTCCTTCCCGGCCAAGCAACCTCTGTCCCTCCGTCTGTCTGTCCGCCCGTGCGCCAGTGCAGCCACTCGCGGTCTTTGCTCTACATGCAGGGTTGGCTCACACTCACCCAGCACAGGCTGGCAGGGGCTGGGCTGCAGTTGGAAGGTAGCATCCCTTGGACAGGCTTAGCAGCTTTTGTCACTGCCCTTGAAGGGGCCTCCTGTCCTTTACCAAAACTCATGTCTGTGTCCCCACAGCCCCACCCACGCCGCCGCTTAGTCCCTTGACCAAGATTCCCCGTGACGTGAAGATCCCCCCCATCTCTTTCTTGCTGGTTTCATGGTCACACACAGACCAAACCCCGTCTTTAGATCCCACCTGCTCCTTTCAAACGCTTCTGTGGAAAGCTAAGAAGAAAAGGGTACACGTGCAATGACTAAAATGTTTATCCATGTGGAGCCAGCCCCGAGGAAAGAGCGATCTTTCAAGGTTTTAATCACCCAAGTATATAATCCGCGGGAGGATCTGAGCCCTCATTAGCAGCAGAGGCTACCTCCACTACTGTGGAGCCTGCTCAGCTTCAAAATTCCTCCGGCAGGGGCCGGGAGGAGTCCCGTTCCTCCCCTCAGTGTGCTCCTAACCTCACTTGCATATGGGCTTGAAGAGATGCTAAAGACAGGTGACAGGGGATTAATTGCAAGCTACTAGGTTTGAAAGGCCCTGAGCTTACAGAAGGGGGGGGAAGGAGTCGGAGGCTGCACTGTGGGTGCTCTCTTACCTCATGACAAAATCCGCTTCATCTATTTGACGGCCACAGCCGCTCATCTTCAGAATCCCGCCGTTTCCCACCACCGCACATTTCTTCAATGGCAGCTGGAAGGGGGTTCCCTAGCAACAGAAAACAAGGCGGGTTTTCACTGCAAAGAACACACAAGTGCTCCGAAATCATTACTGACAGCAGCAGACCTGAGGAACTTGAAGGCAGATTTGGCAGGGCAAGAAGAATCCTGGGAAGAAGGAGGACACCGCTGGGCGGCTGGGGGACAAGCTGGCCCGTCTCTCTGTGGTTAAAAGAGGGCACGGGGTAGGGGCGGGGGTGGGGGAGGGTAAAGAAAAACAGCAAAAAGTCCCTGACACATATTTAAATGTAATGACATCATTGTTTGTTTTCTTTCTCAAACTGGCTGAGCACATTACCACAGGTACTTGTTAGGGGAAACAGAAAAGTCCAAACTAAACACAGGACTGCTTCTAAAGGCGTTAGACAGGAAGCAGAGTCAGGTTGCGTGTGGTTCTCCTGTGTGACGGCAATGACGCCATCAGCCATTCATTCCCTAACAGTGTCTGCGTGTGTCTTAGGCAATGACGCCATCAGCCATTCATTCCCTAACAGTGTCTGCGTGTGTCTTAGGCAATGACGCCATCAGCCATTCGTTCCCTAACAGTGTCTGCGTGTGTCTTAGGCAATGACGCCATCAGCCATTCGTTCCCTAACAGTGTCTGCGTGTGTCTTAGGCAATGACGCCATCAGCCATTCGTTCCCTAACAGTGTCTGCGTGTGTCTTAGGCAATGACGCCATCAGCCATTCGTTCCCTAACAGTGTCTGCGTGTGTCTTAGGCAATGACGCCATCAGCCATTCGTTCCCTAACAGTGTCTGCGTGTGTCTTAGGCAATGACGCCATCAGCCATTCGTTCCCTAACAGTGTCTGCGTGTGTCTTAGGCAATGACGCCATCAGCCATTCATTCCTAACAGTGTCTGCGTGTGTCTTAGGCAATGACGCCATCAGCCATTCATTCCTAACAGTGTCTGCGTGTGTCTTAGGCAATGACGCCATCAGCCATTCATTCCCTAACAGTGTCTGCGTGTGTCTTAGGCAATGACGCCATCAGCCATTCATTCCCTAACAGTGTCTGCGTGTGTCTTAGGCAATGACGCCATCAGCCATTCATTCCCTAACAGTGTCTGCGTGTGTCTTAGGCAATGACGCCATCAGCCATTCATTCCCTAACAGTGTCTGCGCGTGTCTTAGGCTGCCTGCTGGAGACAACTGCAAGTCTAGGGAGCCCAGAGTCAGTGCGGGTTACGAAGAGAGCAGAGACGGAAGTGTGAACCCTGGCTGCCAACTGAACTGCACCGTGAACTTGATGACGTGGCGGAAGAGGAAGCCGAGGCAACTGCTACGGGAAGGAGTAGACAGAACTGTACCCCAGCACTCAGACAAAGCTTTGCCACTTGGAGAGTTAAGTGGAGGGCTAGGGAGATGGCTCATCAGAAACGCGCTTGCCCGGTGAGTGTGAGCGCTCCCGAGCGTGAGCCGTACAACTTGTACGGAACAGCTGAATGTGGCTGTGTGTGCTTGGAATCCCAGCTAGGGGTCACGGGGAGGTGAGGGTTGGGGTTGAAGACAAGGAGATTCTGGTCGTCACTGGCTGGTCAGAGGGACAGAGTCATGTGCTCCAGGCTAAGTGCAAGACCTTTCCCCCAGTAAGATGTAAAGTAATTGATAAAGACACCGGATGTTGACCTTTGACCCTTAGGGATGTACACACACACACACACACACACCACATAGAAAGAGGAAGCCTCAGGCAGAGGACACAGTGCAAATGAGGGCACGAGTATTTGCTGGAAGAAAACGCGCTGCTTGTGAGCAGAACCCGCTGGGTGGCTCTGTTTAGAACTGGGGAGGCATTAAGGGACAGGTGACTTGTGTCAAGCCAGACAGCATGTGACTTTCTTCTGCAAATACCGAGCTAGACTGCAAAGAAAATGTTCTGTGTGCCTGAGCGCTCCCCGGAGTGCTATTTATAGTGCAGGGGAATGTGGAAACCCAGTAATCGTCCCTGAAAGCGAAATGAATCATTTGGCCTCTTCTGGCTGGGTCAGCAAAAACTGCCAGGTACCCAGGCTCCTTGAAGCTGCTGGGACAGAACAGAGTCTTGGAGAGAAGACACTGAGTTCACACACACAGCGGATCTAGGAAACAACCAGACTGACAGGCCACACCATTTGCATGGATCACTTGCAAATAATTCAGACTATACCAAAGATAAAACAGAATCGGCTCACGAATATCCAGTGGGAGACTCCTACCTAGGCAGGAAGTAATAACTCAGCCAGGAAAGACAAAACTCCCATGAGTCTCTGCTTTTATTGGTAGCTGAAGGGGGCACTTAGTCCAACATGAGAAGATTTTTATTCTCTTGATTTCTAGTAGCGATATGAACAGCCAGAGCTTTGTAAATGCTGGTGATAAATATGTGATGTTTGCAGTGTAACATCTAAGCATTTTCCCATAGGAAGGAGAGAACTGTCTGCATTTCCACAGCAGAGATCAGCCCAATACACCGCTCCGGAGAGAGGAGAGACGGGCTAGGGAGAGCGTAACTTCATTCAGAACAGTGCATATTTTTCTTAGGCACTCTTAACATGAAGACTTGGAACCAACGCTTGAAAGCCAGCGATATCTGCAGTCAGTGAGGTCAGTGAGGTGGAGTAGCGTTGGCCTTGTTTGCGTGTCCCACGGATGTTTACTGAGACGCGTGAGTGTCGGTGACGAAGTAAAAGCCCACGTTCCCCAGGCACTCACACTCTACTGAAGAAAACAGAGACGGGTAAGGGAACGTGGGGGAAAAGGAACAGGGGATAGATAGTGAGGTGGTCTGTGGAGAGAAACGGGATTAGCAGAAGAAGGTCGGGAGACGCTTCCTGAGGAGCTGTGAGGGTCTGCAGGGCATCAGCCACAGTGCGCAGGAAGCCCTTGAGCGGGTTCCTGGAGGAGTTGAGAGTGTGAGAACTTGGGTATTGCATCACCCACTGGTACGAAGACCTTGAGGAGGGAACACCCCTGGGGTGAGAGAGGGGCCGAGAGCCTCTGTGGTCTGCCGGTGAGCAAGCAGAGAGAGACGAGATAAACACTGGTCATAAAGGGGGTGGAGAGGTTGGTGAATGAGGCCACATAGGCTGTCATGAAGACACTGATCTTCATTCTGAGAACCACGTCCATGGAAACGGGCACTGGGGTGGTGACATCATGGCCTGTGCTGGAGTGAGATCAAGCTGAACAGAGTCTGGTCAGGAATAGGGGCCAGGGCGGAGTCTGGTGCGATATTCCTGGCTAGGGACTTTGGTGACCTGGAACAGGGTGACAGGAGAGGGGAAGAGGTCAGATTCTGAGGGATCTGGAGGAAGTAGACTTGCTGGTGTGCAGAAAGGAAGGAAGGAAAGAACAGAGAAAGAGAGAGGAATGGGGAATGCTGCCAAGAGTTTTGTCTTCAACGGATGACCAGCTGTTTCCTGGGCCATAGAAGACCACAGCAGGGGTGTGTTTGGGGGACTGATTAACAGCTCGATCTTGAGAAGATCAGTGGTGCCATGACATTCAGACGTCCCAGTAGCTCTGTGCAGAACAAGACTGAGCACACAGTCAAGGAACTGGTCTGTGTGAGGTGGAAAATGGAGAGTGTCTTAGTTAGGCTCTCTGCTGCTGAGAAGAGACACCATGATCCTGGCAACTCTTATAAAGGAAAACATTACAGTTCAGAGATTCAGTCCATTGTCATCATGGTGGGACATGGTGGCGTGCAGGAAGACATGGTGCTGGAGAAGGAGCTGAGATTCCTGTATCTTGCAGGTGACTGGCGTGGCTTGACCATACATGAGACCTCAAATCCCGACTCCACGGTGACACACTTCCTCCAACAAGACCACACCCACTCCCACAAAGCCACACCTCCTAATAATGCTTACTCCCTTTGGGGGGCCACTTTCTTTCAAACCATCACAGAGTATGGTTGGGTATTTAAAGCCAAGAGGCAGAGTGGGGGTGAATACAAAAGAGAAGATGTCCTGGGGAACCAAGTAAAGGCAGCAAGTAACTAAGAGGGAGGAAATGCATCAAGTGCTCCTAATGGACAAAGGGTACTAACAGCTGAAAACTGCCACTGGACTGGGCAACATGAAGGCCACAGGCGTCCTTGACCAGAAGAGGCTACTGAGTCAGATGTATATAAATGCATATCCATTTAGACGTATACTGGAAAATCTTATAGCAAGAGAAAATATGCAGTTAATAGGTGAATATACACTGTAGGTGTCTCACATAGTTATGGTGTAACGACCAAGCCAGGGGGATTCCCAGGTACTCTCCACTGACAGCAGGACTTATAATGCAAGCCAAGCCCCTTAGCTGTTAAAGGGAGACCTTGAACACAGAGGACTGGTTCTCCCAGGTTTTCGGGCAAGAATATGGACCCTGAACATATAGACTCTGGAAGCAGTTGCACAGACCTGAAGGCTGCCCTCTAACTACTGAATCACCAGGCTATGGGACAGCGGGGCAGATGTCACGAGCCTCTATATTCTGCTCCTTCCCTCCACAGGGAGGCCATGCTCTGCAGGACCCTGTGGGAGCACTAGCTGATAGACAGAACATACTCTGCACTTCCGGAAAAGTGACCCACTCACCTCCCTCCCTGTTTCCATTCCTTGTCTCCTCCCACTGGAGTTCATGGACTTGTCTAAGCCGTGGCAATCCTAGATTTCAAGGGCTTTCATGGACAAGACAAAGGAATGGCTTGCTTAACCATCTAAACTTTATCTTACAATAAAGAATCGTTTTTGGTTAGCAGAAAAGTCAAGTAATAGACGTCTACACCCTTAAGCACCACCTCCAAAGTCCTCAAGCAAAACCTGAGGACATGGGGAACAGGCAGTGACCTGACTGTCATCTGGCCTTTGCTTGCTCCTTCATTGTCTTAAGTGCTGGCCTCACAGAAGACATTCGTTTCCCTTCAGTTCAACAAGCACCTGAGAACACTCTGCTGCCAGCACTAACGCACCAGCGAACAGTAACACTACACCACAGCTTTCCACGAGGAAAAGC